ACAGTGCTGATCAGATATGGATCCAGATTCTGTTGTTGACTATTTCTCTCCTCAAATCTGTTCACAAACATATTTTACTGTTTATCTGGAATATGAGAATCTGAGATTAAATAAATGAAGATCTTGTATTAAACTTTCTTTATTGTGCGGTAAAGTCACAAGCTACCCAGCTGTATATAATGTAATTAGCAACATTAAAATGATGAACACGTTATTGCTTCAATAATATAAATGATCCTGAAATGGGCATTCGACTTTATGAGTATTTTTTTGTACTGTATGTATAGTTGGATTCACGTGACTGTATATCATATAGTATATTTTGTTTCTGTTCATAGTGAGGTGAAGTCTGTTTTCGATAAGGAAGTTGAAACCATGAAGCGGTTTGAGTCGCCCAACATCCTGCGAATGTTTGGCATCTGTGTCCAGGAAGAGAAAAGTGAGCAAACTGCAGCATGTCAATCATTTGTTTTTATAAAAAACAACCTACTGCAGCTTTAAACTTAGAGTAATGTGATGTGACTGCCCGAAGGTTCCAGCCCTCAGTTCCTCATCATCATGGAGTACTGTGAGAGGGGAAGTCTGCGTCAGGTTCTGGACTCTGACAGCAAACTGTCCTGGACCAGGAAAGCTCGTATGTGTCTGGACGCAGCGAAAGGACTCTACCGGTCAGTCTGCACAATGATTAATTTTATGTCTGGTTGAAATGATGAAACACACGGAGAAGAAAGGAACTGACGATGCAGAAAATATGAAAGTAATAGTATGGATGAAAGTCTAATCCAATAGACGAGGATACAGAGTAGTGCTCCTGACTTTGATGCAGTTTTTTGAACAGTGCGTTAATGTGATGTTGTGTAGACTTGTGTATGGTGAGTTGTATTTTTTTGTTTTTATGGTTTTTATTAGTGAACGTGGTAACGTTACTGTTAGTGTAACTACATCCTTCAATTCTGCTAGCTCCCTCCCTTTCCGCAAGTTTAAACAATGAACCAGAGACGAGCAAAGGACAGTGTCTTCAGTTGGTCCACTGCAGCTTTTACAGTCACTAGAAGCACATTCACAGCCATTTGTAAAAGTTTCTGTGGTACTTGTGTTGTAACTAAGCTAATGGCTCAGACAGGCTAATGGTGTCCACAGGGGTGTATTTTGGATGCGAGGGGTTGTGCCTCTTCCCAGCATTGGACGCTTGAAATCACAAATGGCTACACCCTCCTACAACCGCATTCAAGTGGTGTAAAGAGAATTAAGAAATGTACACAATTATAAAAACTTTGGTAAGAATGTCAATGTTGATGTAAACATTAATGCCGTCCTCCTCGGCAAAGCTGTAAGCTAGATCACCTGACACCACCGAGATAGCTAACGTGCAGCTAAGGTTGGCGGAGGTGGTTCAGTAGAAAGAAAATAGTTTCTATAAATCTATGAATCTCTAAAACTCGGCAACTCACTTCAAAACAAGACAGATAAATAGCAGGTCAGAGTAAAAATATATATTTAAGATTTGGCTGAACAATCCCTTTAGAGTACTAAATGTTAATATATAAAATATTGACTAGAGCAGCTTTAAATAAGATTTAAAGAACTATCATGATGATTGTCCTCGTTGTCTCTTAGGCTGCACCAGACAGAAGAGAAATGTAAGGTTCACGGATGCATCAACAGCAGCAAGTTCCTGGTGGATGAAGGCTACACAGTCAAGGTACCGAGGCCCAGTGCATGCTGGGATTTAAGGGTTGTTGGTGAAAACAAATTGACGCTGCTGATGTTGGGGGGGTTTATGTTTTTCTTTTCAGCTGGGAGGTTTTGAGCTGGCAAAAACCGAGACGTCGCTGAAGAAGTCGCTGAAGAAGTCGTCGAAGGATAAAGAGATCGGGTCCCTGTGCTACTCCACTCCTCAAAAGCTCAGCAACATCAACTACAAGTACAGCAAAGAGTGTGAGATCTACAGGTGAATGTAAAACATTGATGAAACACACTGGTGTCAAACTCTGCACACTTTTAATTGGTCCCTCACTCATTTTGGAAATGTTGTCTTTCAGCTTTGGGATCGTCATGTGGGAAATTGCAACCCGTAAGAAACCTTTTGACGGTGTGTATCTGCAGCGAACGACCTGTTTTAAGTTTCCTCTTTCAGCGAGAACAGCGGCTGTGGTTAGCTTGAGCTCACGTTGCTTAAAATGGGTCACATCTGCAAGTTCCTTGTCTTCTAGTCAGAGATTGTTCTGACTGGTGTGACCAAAGTTATAACTTATGTAGGCATGAACTATGACCACACACACACACGGCAAAAAAATGTAAGTAAAGGCTAATTTGTTTCAAGTTTTAGACCTATAATGTATTGACAAAACTGGGCAAAACTTTAAATTTCAGGCCACTAAAACTACATTAAGATGCTGACCTGATGGTGGCGCTAGAAGTAATCAACATTTACAGGATCTATTGTCAGAAATGGAATATAATATTGATAGGTATGTTTTCATTAGTGTATAACTTAAAAGATATACACATTAGGCCTATATCTCATCACATTTCATTTATTTCTGTAAAGAAAACTAAATAAAACTGTTATTTTTAAAGTTTAGGTTACACCATGAAACCAGATAAGTTCATTTAACTCAAACAATCGTTGAAACAGATTAAAATTTTAAGTAAAACTACTTAAATTGTTGTTAAAAAACATTCACGATCAAGTACCAATTTTAAGTGACACTGACTTCATTTTGCCATTTTTGTTGTACTGTGAAAAAAACACTGTAAAAAGTACCTAATCAGGAATGTTTTTAACTTACAAAATTGAGTTTGTGTAACTTAAAATCGAGTTAAAATAACTAAATAATACAGTGAAAAAATTACAGTAAATTGATTAAAATGACCAAATATCCTGGAAATAATGTTTATTGTCCTGGAAATTTTTATCCTGTGTTTAATGTTACAGTTAGAGGAAAACTGGAGTCACTTTTTGACAGCGCTATCAGCCCTCCCCAACTTCCAACAGCTCTCTGATTTCTGTTCGAGGTGGACTTCAATGTGTTCTTAACATTTCCTCCAGGTTTGTCGAGTCAGGATATCTATCAGAAAGTGTTCCAAGAGAAATATATGGAGCCCATCCCCGACTGTCCTGAACCTCTGGAAGATCTGATCAACACCTGCCGGGCCTACGATACTTTCCAGAGACCATCTGCTGGAGGTAAATTACACCCACGCTCACCACTACACAGTCTTTCCTATTCTGTTAAGTGTTGTTCATTCATAAATTGTGGCAATCTATCTCTGTCTGCAGTGCTGGTGGATAAGCTGCGCAGCGTGGTGACAAACTTAGAGGAGTGACCAAACTCTTCATCCCTCGGGCGTTTCTGTCATCCTCAGGAGGAGAAATACTGAAACCAAACTACTCTGAAAACTAAGTTTACTGTAACTCTTGTATTAACATCTCATACTGTTTAAACCAGGAACCTGTTTCCAAAAAAATCAACCTTCTCATGGATCTGCTTGGTGTGTTGTTTTTTTTCAAATAATTGTATGTTAAAGGTTCCATATGTTAGATTTAAAGCATTTTACATTTTATTTTTATGTATTAATCACTTTTTATTAAATAAGGAATGGTGTTGTAGTGTAGCTTTGTTCCTCTGCTGCCTGTGGACTGATTTCTATGTGTTTCTGTGTAGGGATGAGGGTCAAAGGTTGTGACCTTTATGCTTCTGGGTGCCTTCTCTCTCCCACTTCCTACAGTGCCAACAGTGGGCAACGCTATTGAAGCTCAAGCGTCTACTGAGGACCTGGGTTGCTTTAAATCTGTTACTTAAGGATAAAATAAATGCAAATAGATGATAATCCTCTTTATAGCTCATATCAAGCACATGTTTCACTACCCTGTATATGTCTGCGTTCACACTGCGGGCAGAAGTGGCCCAAATCCCAAATCTGATCCGTTTAGAAATCTTTAAACACCAGACAAACTGAGACGAAGCAGATGTGATTAATCAGGACTGAGCGCCGTGTGAACGCAGCCTTTTATGGAGCATAGAACTGTCACACATGTACAAACCTTTTACTAACACGTCTCTTATATACTGTCAATGACGAAAATGCAAAAACTGAAAATACCTCCACCTAGTGGTTAACACTCAGTGTTACAACTAATTCTCCTTTTGTTTCCTCATTTTTAAAAACTATTAAAAACTACAAATCTTTGTGAGTCTTTATGTTTACCAGGACTACAAATTCTGGTGTTTCATGCAAAGTCAGTGCTGATATATGAAATATGAACAAATGAAAACAATAAACAAACCGAAACCAGTCGTTTTCACTACGAGTGATAGAAGGGAAATTCTTCTTTTCAACAAAATCTTTCAATGTTGACTTAAAATTAAGGATTTAATCTCATTTTGCTGCAGTATAACTTCTATTTAGTGTTTTGTCATTTCCATGTCTTTACATTTATTTTCTTTTTAACTTAAGTTTGAGTAAGCAGGCTAATTTCCAATTGTGGATGGAGGTCAGATACAGGTATATTTAATTTGATGGCACAAGGACGTTGCATTCACTCGTTTTTATCTTTATTTTGTTTTTAAATCAGTTTGATGGGAGTATTTAAAAAAAAACCATTTACTTTTAGTTTTGTTTATATTCCTTTCAGTGTTAGTTTTAGTTTCTTTATTATAATATAGGGAGTATTTGTCAGGGGCAAACACATTGAGTCTTGCAGACATCCAATAAAAATATGCATCACTGCCTCCTCGTGATTGTTGTGTTGACAAATTTAACTAAATTGAGAAAAACTGGAACTGAAGACATTTTTTGTATTTTTTTATTGTATTTAACAATATTATTTCAGGTAGTTCTAGTTTGTCGATAGACAGTAAAAGGCCATAAACTTCTAATAGGTTAAATACAGTTTCTGTAACAGTAAAACTCCATCTCACTGCAAAACCTTCATTTATACAGCATTTTAAATGGAATAAAGGTGTTTTTTTGAATATTACAGAAAACCACCTTCATATCTCATGGCAAAAAACGTTTTTCATGTGGTTTCTTTTGATGGTAAAAACTTGTATTTATACACTTAAATATGGAATAAAACTCCACCTTTAACCGTAAAATTAACAATATTAAAATCCTTTTAAGATAACTGTAGAAAAGTTCTACTGTATTTATTCCGGTAAAGTTCTGCCAACCACAGCTGACAGTTTTTTACCTTAAAAATTACATTTATTTTTAAAAGTATGTGTTTTATGTGGAGAAACATCACCCTTTAACTACAGGAAACAACATTATAATGATCCTTTCTCTTGAAGTCGAGCAGCAGAAGTGACAATGTGCAAATACAGCATATAATACCAAATAATACATAAAAGAGAGATAATGACGAGGACATCATGTTTAATTCAGAAAGTAGTTTAAAAACAGGCACAAAACACAAACATTTACTGCATACTGCAACAACAATCAGCCAGTGTCAGTAATCAATACACACATTATTAACTTTGTCACACTAATAACTAACAGCAGTGAACATCAGACAACATGAGCATACTTTAGCAGTTAGTTAGTGTTTCTGTAGTGGTGAAAAAAACGTTTAAATTATACATATTAACAGTTTGANNNNCAAACTCCCTTTAAGAAATATCACATTTTAACAATTCCTAATGTGTCCGTAACAACACGTAACTCTAGAAACACGAACTAAAGGCGGTTATTTGTCCACAGTCTAACTGTTAATTCGGCATTAATATAATCAATAAAGATAACGTGTATTCTGTACGAACTTTACATTTAGTCTGCTGCACTCGCTCCGCCGCCGTTGCTGCTGCGCTCTTTAAGCGGGCAAAAAACCGTTGGAATGAGAGGCAGACCGCTTCAAAAATTAAGATTTTAACTAAAATAAGTGCTGGTTGGTGGATCAAATAGGCGCCGAATTGAACACCGACTCACAACACTGTTTATTATAAGTCTATTTTTTATGTGTTTCGGTGTTATTTCGGCTGTAATCAACCCAACTGACCGGCTGCTCTCTGCCGTTACTCCCACTGGATCCCGTTGTGTGTGACTCATCTCTCCAACCGACGATCTCCGGCGGTGACGTCGCGGCAGGATGGGGCGGGCAGAGCGAACTGGCGCCGGGAGATTCGAGCCCGGACCGCGGTGCTGCCCGCAACAACGCTCCCGAGCCAACTGGAAGTCACCCCCGTTAAAACCCACCGCGACCAGACCCGTTTGATCCGCCATGCAGGTGCCGTGTGTGTCCGTCCGGAGCGGGAACAGCGGCCGTTGAACCTTCACGTCACACAGGTAGCCGAGAGCCCGCTAACCGGAGCTAGCCCACGAGCTAACGGCGCCAACGAGCCGAAACAAGCTGGCGTGTTCCCTAAACGTGTTTAAAGCGGGGTCACAATGATTAGTAGTGACAGAAGGTGGATGAACACGGGGTTAAATAAAAGCGTAATGTATCGCAGGAGGTTTTAAATCGATACGAGGAGCTAAGAGTTGGTGTTAGCGCTGGTTTTTGCCCCGAGGCCTCCGCGACCTCGGCCTCGAGTTCGGTGTGTAGCCGAGGAACGCACGACCTGCCCCCGGGGAGCGCAGCGGGAGGTACACCCCCCTCACAGATAACACACAGATTGTCCCTTAACTCTCACTTAACTGACTTTATTCATATTATATGATATTATATTATATTATATTATGTTCAATGCATCAACTGTACACTGAAGTTGAGATTTGGATGATTTTAAGCAGATTATTTCATGTTATTTTGCAACAGGTAAGATCACATTGATGGTTTAATATTGTATTTTTCTGGTAATAAAAAAGTAAAGAAAGCAAACAGAACATTTTAACATAAAGGAATTAAATCGGAATCAATATATTGGGAATAAATGCTCAACTATCTTTACAAAAAAGAACAATATTTGGGGATCCGACCAAAATAAAGGACATTTGAAACATGAGCACATCATTAAATGTCCTTTTATATCTTTTAAAGTTATATTTAGAAGGTAGACACTTTATATATAAATATATAAATATAATATGTTTTATTTCCCTTCATTTTTATTACATGACCAGAAGTGTTTTGGTTTTTAATTTGAGGAAAAACAACATTTAAATTAAAAAGATTAAACTTGATTCATAATAAAAAGATTTAAAATAAAGACGTGACTTCTGTTGAAATCATTTTTCCACAGTAACATTTAAATTTGAGCAGATAGTGAATATAATAACTATAATTTATGATTGTTAAAAATGTTTAAAATTTAATTAAATGAGGAGAATTGTTTAAAAAGTTCCAGAAACAGAAAAAAAAATCTGCTTAAAATTCATTAAAATCTGGTTTCACACACAAACGTCCTTTCCCAGCATGCAGCAGGCTGTGTCCATTAACCGCTCTCCTTCCCGCTCTCAGATGGAGGCGATGGAGGTGGACTTCCCCGCCGTGGAGGGACGAGGCCGCAGGCAGCCAGCGCTCGCCGCCGGAGCCGCGGACCTCAACGCGCCGTACGTCATCTCCGACTCCGGCAGCAGCACCGAGGTGGACGAGGACGACGAGGAAGACAACGAGGGAGGACAGACGGCGGCCCGCGTGCCGCCCCGGCTTCCCGCCACCTGGGCGTTCAGCCAGAGAGCGGTTGGCGTCTCCGCGGCGACGTCATTTTGTCAGTCAGAGACGTATATTTGTAGTAATTTCAGTTTTCCAGTTCAGTTAATTCAATCCAAAATCACAACTGTTCCTTTAAAATCTGTCAGAAAATGATGTAAGTGTATCGAATCGAATCGTATCGTTGGTTCTGAATATCGTGATGATATTATCGTATCAGATATCGCGAGATTAATTTGTATCGGCTAGCAGCACCTAGTAGAAACCTTCTTGTGTATCCTGCAGTCTCCTCCGTATCGGCGCCCTCGGAGCAGCAGAAGG